AAAAATTAATCATTGACATTCAAATAGTTATCAATGTAAAATCTCTTCAACGGGTCTCCAATGTTTTGTTCTTATAATAAAACATTCACGCGTCCATTTAAATATCATTACATTTTAGTTTGTGATATCAGCTACCCACTTCACAAGTAAGAAATACCACACGTTATAGTCTAACCATAATAATGATATTCATATCTTATTATTATGACCACGAATAATTTAAAATTCAGCCATATGTAATTTGTTTTTCACTATCACAACTCCTTGTATTTAAAAACTTACAAAGACTTGAATCTACCAACTTTATTAATTTAATTTTCCAGAATAATAATATAAAAAATAATAAATCTATCATAAATAAGATACATTAATCATATTAAAAGTATTTATGCCTAAAATCGATTGGATATATGACATAATACTCTCTCAAGTATACAGACAAAAGAATTATGAAGAAAGAACACCAATTTTCATCTCTGCTCTCTCTCTCTCTCTCCCTCACTGGGAGGGTGGGTACAATCAGCACAAACATTTTTGTCTAAATTCAGACATTTACTTTGCAATAAAAACTTGACGAGTGAAGAATTTTTTTGAAGCGTAAAATCAAACAACACAAACATGAACTCACTTTAAAATACGAAAATTTAACTTTCTACAAAGGAAATAGAGCAACTTCAAGCAACCTTCATTCGTTAACTTTAAAACTAAAATAATCTCTTAACTTAGATCGTCAGACAAAAGTTTATCATGCTACTCTTGATGTTGTATGGATCAAAATCCATTTAATTTTCACATATAAAAGTAATCTAAAATTTCAAAATAATTTTCTAACTAAATACTAAAAGAAGATTTTAAATGCTAGATCGAGCGACACGGACCGTACCAACACTTTCAACCTTCAACCCCGAACAATCAAGCATCTGTAAAATATTTTTAAATATGCAAATAGCCTGGCCCATGTGATCCCTCACGAATTTCTATCGCATTCTTTGGATTCGAACTCAAGACATCTACCTTATGAAAGACTTAAGATGAATCATGGTACCATTTGGCAATTGACCTTCTTGGCTTTGACCTTTCTGTCTACCTCATTGGAGTTGACTTCTCTCAATCGGAGAGAAATGTTAGAGATCGAGATAAGATCAAGATAGGATTTTAGTAAGAAGTTAAGGGGGGTGTTTGAGCCACATTATTTTGAAATAATGCATTCTTAAATAATGTATTGATAGGAAATATGTGGTTAAAAAATAAGAAATTTTTTTTTATCTGTGTGTAATATTATTTTATTGAAGAATGTATGGTTGAAATGATGTCAAATCACTATTTAAGAATATATTTTTTCTTTGGAATAATGTGGCTCAAACAAACCCTAAATTAGAGTTAGGTTCAATTTACGTTATTTAGATTAGATTTAATTATTTTGTTAAATACATACGTTCATTAGAAGTTCATTTGCGTTTAGTTTTTTTTTTGAATTTATTTTTCTGTAAATAAAGGGCTTATTCAATGCAATAGTTAACCTGGTTATATAAATAATGAATGATTTTTCTTGGTCCTCAATTCTTCTCTTCTTGGACTCCTTTCTTTTTGTTCCTTGTTTTGTTCGTTAATGAATTTTACGCTATTGAGTTAGATAGATTTATGGAATGGAAATGCTACTTGAGAGAAAGAAAAAGAAATCAAAGTCAACAATCCCCACTCTTTGCCTAGTAATGTGAATTTTGAGGGTGAAATGGCTTTAAGAAGTAGAGTATGTCATGCCCTAAAATTTTTAGAATGTGTAACAAACATTGTGCCCCTTGAGTCCTCATCTGACGATACGTTATATTTCAAATCAAACGGGTTCAAGATTGTCGCCTTGGGAACGGAGCATACAACGATTCTTTTTTCTTTTTTTATTTGTAAGAAAAAGTAATTTAAATTAATTAAATAAAAGTCAAAACAAAATAGATTAAGATTAAATGTAAATAGTTCCTGACAAGGACATCAAAAACTTGTTGCATTTTTCTATTGCAAGTATGCGCTATCGAATAAGTAATTCAGTGAACATTTGAGTCCGCAATCCACATAATCTCTCCGATAGAGGCTATATTTATTCTTAAATTACTATTTTCACTTCTATTTGAAGAAAATAGTTTTCGGTTAGGTGGTTTTTTTTTTTTTTATATCTAAATCAAAGTAACTAGCTTGATGTCATCGAAATGCACACAATAATCGAATGTGCTCGATTGAATTCTTCTAACGTATTCAATTTACATCTTTTCAGTTCAAATTGATTTTATTTAACGAAGTCAATTTCATATATTTTTGTTAACCATGATAAAACTTAATTAAATGTCTTAAATATCTAAGAATTCATGTAATGACTGCATTAACTAAAAATGTATTTCTACACTTTCATACTAACTACTTGTTTTTATTATGTGGTCTAAATTCTATAACTCACATCTTTATTCTTATAGATTCACAATATTGTTGATTATTGAACAAATAATTCAAAGCTAAAACACCATAAATAATTAGACACACGAAATTAAGAAATAGAATTTTGAAATTTAAAATTAAAGGATCTCAATAAACTACCTTGTTCATCATAACTAACGTTTAGCTGCTCATACTAGATGAACAAAATATAGAATAATTATGAATTAAATCACATGGTATGGAATTAAGATGTAGAGAATTGGATGAATGTTGCACCAAGATTGTCTTTTCCCTACCAAATCAAGCTTCCAAACCCTCGTTCTTGATTTTGTTCCATGTGTGTTTTCTCTCTAATTCTCGAAAGTACGAGACTCTTATTGCATCTAGATTAGGCCTTTGTAGAGTATTACACTTCAAATAAGAGTTCCCATGAAAGACAAACTAGCGGTCTGCCACTAATTTGCCAACCGTGGTTGGCATCCTGCAACTTCTCATTTTGTAGTTTGGTCATTAACTTTTTAAAACCTTCATTTTGGTTCTCAAACTTTTCAATTGTCAAATATTCACTCTTTAACTGATGAATCTCATCCAATTGCTCCATCACTTCTTTCAATCGATTGATTGCAACCCCAAATGATCAGATACCTGAATCAATCTCCAATTAAGCTCAAAATCATGACATTTTGCACCAATTACACCGAATCCAATCTTCACCTACAAATCACATTATTGCACTAAATTAAGTTGAAATTCGCTCAATTAATCATATTTTATCAAGATTACAAGTGCAAATAAGCGTGAAAAATACATTTATGAGAATTTATTTTCGGTAATTGCAAACTACCTATCAAGAGTCATTTTCCCATCTCAACGAAATTGTGTTTTTTTGAAGCATTTTTAGCATTCAGAAGTGTTATCGCAAGTTTTTGGCTAGTTTCTCTATTTGTAAAGACGTTTGTTCTTTTAAAATATCGCCAAACTTTATAGTTTACGGTGTAGTATCAACATTTTCAAGAACTAGAACATCATTCGGACCAAAATAATTTATTTATGGAATGATGCACTACTGAGGAATTGGTTTATTGTAGAGAATTATGAAATTATGATGATTTGATATACAGCCGTGCATATTTAAATTTTCATTTTTACTAGACTCTTTCGATAACATTAATGTTTAAAATTTCAAAATATTGTAACATAGTCTTCATGTTAATGGTACTTCATTCACAATATTATTACATATCGCAATTTTTAACTGTGAAAGTGACAAAATTAGTAAGCTACCTATCCCACTAAATGTACATAATAAACATGTTAAAGGTGTTTTTCACATGCAAATTCTTCATTTAAACATAATAAACGAGTATCCCGAGTTCTATTCTAGATTCCATACATGAGTGATTCGAAAACTAATTTGAATATTGTCAGTCAATGCATTGAATAGATTTCTGGTATCCGGGGCCTTAAAATAAGGGATATTGTGCAGCTATAATTACCATAAAAAAATTATGATTATAGTAATTTCTTTCTAGCCATTGAAATAAAAAAAAAAGTATAAAAAGGTCCAAATAGGCACTAAGTTTCGTTGAAAAGAAAAGACTTATTTTGTAAGTATAGAGAAAAATGTCTCTTCGAATACCTTATCCACACTGGGTGAGTGGATTGTCGGGTGATGGTGACATTTGTGGTACAGGTGAGTTCATGTGCTATTTATTTATTTATATTAATATAAAGTTAACATATAAAAAAAAAAAATACGATCCTTACACATCCAAATAATTGAAATTTTAACATAAGGATTATGCCCCTTTTGAATATTGAGCATATTATTTTCTTTATCCATTTTATCTTCAATTTTCATTTTTGATTTTTCTCTTTTGAACTTAAGATTTTATGCTAAGCCGTATGTATTTCCATGGTGCTCGTTTAATAATAAAAAAGAAAAAGAAAAATAGAAGGGTGATCACTTGGGTATATCCTTAATAGTAGGTTGGTTACACCTACAACCGAAATGGAAACCGAGCGTAAGGATTTTATATCCTAATCATATCCCTAATAAATAAAAAAATAGATTCCCCTAGCTATCTTTTCAACTACTCCATTCCATGGTCGGCTCGGGGACAACGTCGATGAAGGCGTGTAGGTGCACTATTCCATGGTGGGGATTGTAACGATCCTTTCGTCAATCATGTCTACATCGTCCATTGATGAGCCAATGATAAATGTTGATTAGATGTCAAATCTATTACCAAGGCTGACTATAAGTTATTTCAAAATATGCAACAAAATCAAATGTTTATAAAAACATAGTGCAATGGGCCAAAAAATTTACTTCGTGGTTTATCAAATTGACTCATATTATTCAATATGTCGTGTGGCTCTAACTCTGAAATCACCAGGCTCCTCAAGCTATCAAGGACCAATACTACTTGTGAGAAAAATCGTGGAAAAAAAAATGAGTTGATAGCCCAATGAGTGGAAGAGTTAAAAAAAAATTATATTTTCTCCTTTAAACATTTTTATCAAATATCAAGCTCATATCATTTAATATTTCACATGATAGCCTCGTACAATCATAGACAAAAAGTGAAACATTCTCATAACACTGTAAATATCATCTCATAATCACAATATAGCCATCTGCTGATATCTATGCCATCATCTCATCACATCACATGTGATCCACAAAAAATGTACTCTCTGATTAAAATATGTAATCCACCCCCTCGGGCTAAGTACTTTCGCCACGAGCCTTTGGCTCCCTCCGTGAACAAAAGCGGATCTCGTGACATCTGGTAATCAATTCTAGAACATGGCCAAAGCCCCTCTGTGAACCATATGTACACGATCAATACCAATGTCAGGTCAAAACCCCTTCGTGTAGGATAGAACACGGTCAAGGCCTCTTTATGAACTAGAATCATGAATACTTTTTTGGTCGATCTCAAGATCACAAATTTTACATACCAAACAAATCTCAATATCACATGTCTCACATACCAAATTACAAATATGCCATAGATAATCTTTGAGATTCCACATGTATCATAATAAAAGAGATTTTCATAATAATCATATAATCGAACACATAATTGCACATACTTTGATAATATACTTAACTTATAAATACTTTAAAAATATTTTTATTTTTCCACTCACAGAGTTAGAGGCTGCATGCTAATCTAGACATTTTGCTTTCCGAATATCCTCGCTACCTCGTCCTGAAATAACAATAAAATTGCATGAATTCATATTGGTCGTGAATAACATATACCCATCTTACTTGTATTCCTCTATTTTTATTCTTTATTTCTTTCATAGTTCTTCCTTTTCTAAAAATAGATAACATAAACAAGTGGACATCTTCTATAAACTCCAAACTTGTTTCCTTTGTTTCACTTCCAATCCACGAAAACACCTATATATTTCAGTAAGTATCATATTCGCTTGATTGAAACCAAAACCCATCATAAAGCCTTGTTCAAGCTGAAAAGAAGCCTAAAAGAGAAGTCCAAAATTCTTGCTTGATGGTACCCAGACAGCCACTTGTTCACATAAAGGCCATCCCATCTAGTTGTCTAAAACGAAAATTCCTCCTCACACTAATATAAACCCATATTGTTCAAGTAATTGGAAAATTATGAACACATAATCAATGATTAAAGTCAATAACATCAAACCCATTTCCCATTTAATTCTCGTTTCTCACACCTTCAACCCAAATTCCACTTACTTTCTAATTCTTGAAATTCAGGTATGGATAAAAAAAAAACCAAAAATCACACCTAAAATAAATAAAGTCTTAAAACAAACTAATCCCTATAAAATGCTTAACTTTAAACACTAATTCCTTTTTTACCTATTGAAATAGAAGAAGAACTGGAGAACCACGAGATATAATAGACAATTTCCTTCAATCACCATGATTGGCCGCCATCTTCTATTTCCCTTTTTCTTTTCCAAATATTCTTCCACCTCTCGATTCTTCTGTGCTCCCCCACAATGAATGGATTTGGTCTAAATTTAACAAATGCATCAATGAAATAATTAATAATAGGACCCTCAACTCCGCCATAGTTTGCACTTTAAACCTATTGTTTCCATTTGATTTAAAAATCAACAATTATTCCTATAATCAGTTTAGCCCACACAATTCCCACTTGCTTATACTAGTCCCCATAAAATCGATTACTTAATTTAAGTCCTCTTTTGACTTTGAATAGACCAAATATTTTCTTATCTTTGACTATAATGTGTTGGGTGTAACAATCTCACCCCCTTCAAAAAAATTTCGTCCTTGAAATTCAATTAGCTAGAGGTCCAACACAGAGGTCGATCCCACGTTCTGTTGGACAAGTTTTTGCCCATCATGATATTTTGAAATAAAATATTAATTTATTTTTACTAATTTTTCTATATTAATGCGATCTTACATTTTGTTCGTAGATCAAATTGATATTTTAAATCGAGTACTTAAATTGTCTAATCCATGTTATAGTATTAACTTAATCCCTTTGTGTGTATACGAAAAATTGGAATTTGAATTTGCTACCTTGCATTTGCAATTTGGTCTCTCCATTCTATTTCTTTCTTATGCCAAGTCTAACATTGCATTTTAAACCCTTTGTTTGTGCGGAAAATTGGAATCGGATTATTCCAATACCAAGGGAGAAAATACAAGATTATATGCATAATATTAAATAAATATCACAAAAACACAAGAACAATGTAATTTGCAGAGAATGAGAATTTTATTATAATATGGAGAAAGAATACAAAGATGCCGATCCAATATTTAATTTACCCATTTAATTAAATCTGGTTCATGAATTAATTAATCCAATTAATTAATTCGGGTTTATAAATAAGCAACCAAATTAATTAATTTATCCAACGCTTGTGAAATCAATTAATTGACAAATCACAATATTC